CAGCCATAGTGCCCGGTGCTGCAGCCCTGGTGTCTGCAGCGGGGAGGGAGTGCCTTCTTCTCGGGCTTGTCTCTCTCCCTTGCTCAGAGCTTTGGAGGGGTTGTCTGGACCCGTGTCTCCTTGGAACTGTGCATGGAGAGCCTCTAAGGGCAGCTCTCCCGTGTTCTCAGCATGCACTTGACACTGCCGTAGGCCGCAGCTCCTTTTGGAGCGCTCCACACACACTGGGCCTAGCAGCAGGTCTCTGATCCCCTCAATTTCCCAGGTGGGGAAGTCAAGGTCCCGAGTGGTGACTTGCCACAGGACAGACTCAGCAGCTGTTTCCAGAGCCCCCGCTCCAGGCCGTGCTCCCCCTGTGCTGCTGCAGAGCACTGCAGAGCTGCCTAAGGATGTGAGCGGGGGCAGTGGCCGAGGCGTTGGCGCAACAGAGGCTTCTCAGTTCTCACCTTGCTGTGCAGACGGGGCCGTGCGCTCAGAGAGGGGCTGTGGGGAGCGCAAGCGGTGCTGCACGGCGCCAGCCCGCTCCCTTCCTGGGTGCGTGCGTGTCTCCTGGCAGGAGGGCCCGCTCTCGAGCGGCCCTTGGCCTGGCCAGAGGGCTGAGCCCTCAACCTGGTTTCTGTGTGTCCCAGGAGCACAAGGTGCTGCTGACGGGGACGCCCCTGCAGAACTCAGTGGAGGAGCTCTTCAGCCTCCTGAATTTCCTGGAGCCGCAGCAGTTCCCCTCGGAGACCGCCTTCCTGGAGGAGTTCGGGGACCTGAAGACAGAGGAGCAGGTACTGAGAAGGGCCCTAGAGGGTTATCACAGGCCACTGGGGCACCTGGTCACGAGTCCAGGGCCACCCTCGGACACCTGCTCCTTGGAAGCAAACAGTATCATGGCCTGAAGGTCGACTCCTTCCCAGGTGCAGAGCTGCAGCCCTTGCCTCGGCTGTGGGCTCTGTAAAGGAGACCTCACTGTGCCGAGATCACAGCCTCTCCTCCACCCAACACCCTGCTTCCCGTGCACCCCTGGGCAGCTCAGTGCATCCCGCTTTCCCAGCACTTCCTATCCCAAGGACCGCAGGAGCTTGGAGGCAATGGGCTGGCTGGGGCTTCGTGTGTCACCCACTCTCAGATGCACCTGGGGACTGTCCAAGGACAGGCCTGAGCGTGGGACACTGGAAGCAGCGCAGTCTTCTAGGCTCTGCTGTTGCCACTTGAGTATCTGGCTGAAGTGGAGATTACATGAAGATCAGGAGCCTCAGAGGCTCTGGAGTGCATGGGAACGTGGAGCAGGCAGCATCTGCGGTGCTGTGAGAGCCCCCAGTGCTGCTCCTTCGGCAGACTTCCACCGTGGCTGCTGTTCACACATGCCACGTGGCACGGGATGAGCTGGGAGCTGAGGCCTTTGCTGCAGCCGTGTGCCAGACACCAAGCGCTTGGGGGAATCACAGACGGCTGAGGTTGGAGGGGATCTTCAGAGATCATCTGGTGCAAACCCTCTGCTCAGCCAGAGTCACCTAGAGCACGTTGCCCAGGGCCCTGTCCAGGCAGCTTTTGAAGATCTCCAAGGAAGGAGATCCCACAGCCCCTCCGGGCACCCAGTCCCAGTGCTCTGTCATATGCAGCATTAGAAAGTTTCCCTTAGATTCAGACAGAACTTCTGTGTTTTCGTCCTGCCACTGCGCACCTTTGGAAGGAACCTGGCCTCCTCCTGACACCTTCCCGAACAGACTTGTGTACAAATATCTCAGTCTTCTCCAGGCTGAACTGCCCCAGCTTTCTCAGCCTTTCCTTGTGAGAGAACTGCCCCGTCCCCTAATGCTCTCTGTAGCCTGGTGCTACGGACTCTTCCCAGTAGCTCCCTGTCTCTCTCGTAGCCTTGTCGAAGCCCCATCCTGCAGCAGTGGCCTCGCCAGGGCTGGGCAGAGGGGCCTCCTCTCTTGGCCTGGAGCTAACACGACTCGCGGGGCCTGCTGAGCACTGCCGTTCTGCCGGTTCTCACCGTGTGCTTGTCTGGCCTGCATGAGCTTCCTGTGGGAGACGCCGCCAAAGGCCTTCCTGGAGTCAAGGCAGCCAACGACCACGGCTTTTCTCTCATTTACCCAGCCAGTGCTTGCATTACAGTAGACCCTCAGGTTGGCAAATGGATAGGTTGGTCGAGGAGGAACTATGGAAGGAGGAAGTGCCCTTCAGGACAGCTGCAAATGCAGCCTGGGCTGAGGAGTCCGTCCGCTGGCTCCTTGCAGCGGCCGTGGGGCTGGTGGGGCACTCAGCAGCGGTGCTACAGATGTCATGGCGCAGGACCATGTGCCTGTTCTGAGGAGGCCACCCCTCAAAGCCGCCCTGGTTCTCAGCAGAGCGGCTGCTGAGCACTGCGGTGCTGCAGACCCCTCTGCCTCGTCACTGCGCGCTTGGGAGCCAGGGACGGCAGTGAGTCTCGGTGCTTGCTCTGACAGGTGAAGAAGCTGCAGTCCATTCTGAAGCCCATGATGCTGCGGCGTTTGAAGGATGATGTGGAGAAGAATCTAGCACCCAAGCAGGAGACCATCATTGAGGTGGAGCTGACCAATATCCAGAAGAAGTACTACCGGGCCATCCTGGAGAAGAACTTCTCCTTCCTCTCCAAGGGTGCCAACCAGCACAATATGCCCAACCTCATCAACACCATGATGGAGCTGCGGAAGTGCTGCAACCACCCCTATCTCATCAACGGTGAGGGCTGTGCACCGGGGCTCCGTGAGGGCCTGCTCTGCTGCAGCGCGCACCCATCGCTGCGGCTGTGCCACGCACCCAAGCGTAGGGTGCCGTGCTCTGCCCTGCAGCTCTTGTGTCAGCACAGGGCTCTTCAAATGCTGCTTGCTGACCAGCAGCAACAGCCTCGGGTTCTCGGTATAAACCAGGGCTGGGGGGTGTCCTGGAGAGGAATCCTCTCCAGCATCCTCACCAGGCTCACTCTGCCAGGCGCTGGTGCAAGCTCTGAAAAATGCCTGGGGTGGTAGAAGTGAGTGGGTTTCTGTAGGTCCTGAGTCCACTTGCTCAGGTTGCTGTGTGGGGTCTGTTCTTTGCGTGGTGACTTGCTGTTGTCCTGAGCAAGAGGCTGGGGGCAGCTGCCCTGCCAGGCCAGCCACAAGGCAGAACAAGGACTCTGCCCAGAACTCACTTCCCTTCTCACCTGGCAGGGGCAGAGGAGAAGATCCTGGAAGACTTCCGTAAAACGCACAGCCCAGAGGCACCAGACTTCCAGCTTCAGGCAATGATCCAGGCGGCCGGGAAGCTGGTGCTCATCGATAAGCTGCTCCCCAAGCTGATCGCCGGCGGGCACAAGGTGCTCATCTTCTCACAGATGGTGCGGTGCCTCGACATCCTGGAGGACTATCTCATTCAGAGGCGGTTAGTACAGCCCTGGGTCCTCACCGTGGCTCTGCCGGGTCATGTCACTCTGCGGCTGCAGGTGCAGGGTGGAGAGAGCCTAGGGAGGGGTGTTAGCCACTCTGTGCCACGAACCCAAGGACCTGAGTGGCAGACTACCTGCTGGCGGGGGCAGAGACCCCCCGAGCTGGGCAGCTCTGGGGGGTCTCTGCATTTTGCATTGCCCAGGGCTGGTCCTTGGAGTGACCAGATAGAAGCAGACCCTTCCCTTGGTCCTGGTTCCTGCAGGGCCTATGAGTCCTGCGTCCCTACACTGAGTGCGGGGCTGTGATGGTTGTGCCACCATAACAGGAATGGCTCTTGGCACCAACCGCAGCATGCAGAGGCTCCGCTTGTGCACAGGTCCTGCCAGCAAAGGCAGCCTGTCTGCCATCCCACGCGGAGCCTGGGGCAAGGACCAGGCCAAGGGCCGGTCGCGGCAGTGTGCTCCAGCCCTGCTCTCACCGCTTCCCTCTCGGGGCAGGTACACATACGAGCGGATCGACGGGCGAGTGCGCGGCAACCTGCGCCAGGCCGCCATCGACCGCTTCTGCAAGCCTGACTCGGACCGCTTTGTCTTTCTGCTCTGCACGCGGGCGGGCGGGCTGGGCATCAACCTCACTGCTGCCGACACCTGCATCATCTTTGAATCGGACTGGAACCCGCAGAATGACCTGCAGGTAACGGGCCGGGCTGCGAGCGCTGCGTGAGAGACGGGGCGGCTTGGAGGGCTGTAGCGCAGCCAGCGCCACCGTACCAGCAAGGGAGAGCAGTGCCGCGGCGCCCTGCCGTCCTGGCACGGGCTGCAGCGTAGGGCAGGCAGGGGAGCATGTCACTGTGCGGAGCAGCATGGCTCCAGTCGTGCAGGGGGGCTGGGAGCAGGCAGCCTATCCCTGCGGCGCTGGGTGCCCATCGCTACCCTGCGCAGGACGCGCAGGCTGCCCTTGGAGCGCTCGCCCGGATGCGCAGAGCCCAGCGCCAGCACGGCGAGGGCTGGCCCAGCGCGGTGCCCTGGCGGAGGTGGGCACCCCAAGCTGGGGCCTCATGGGGGTGACGCCGTGTCCCCGCTGTGTTGCAGGCTCAGGCCCGCTGCCACCGGATCGGTCAGAGCAAGGCGGTGAAGGTGTATCGCCTCATCACCAGGAACTCCTATGAGCGCGAGATGTTCGACAAGGCCAGCCTGAAGCTGGGCCTGGATAAGGCGGTGCTGCAGGACATCAACCGCAAGGGCAGCACCAACGGGGTAGGCTGCTGCGGGGTGGGGCACTGGGTGGCACACTGCACGGAGGACCTCTCCGCCTCCCCTGCGCCCCGTCCCTGTGCTGGCGTTGGCAGGGAAAGGCGGGGAGGGCATGTGCACACGGTGTGTGGGGACAAAAGCCTTGCGTTCCGCGTGGGGAGGACACGTCCTGTCTGCCTAGGGGGTCTGTGGGGGTCAGCGCTGTCACAAGGACCCTGGAGTACTCAGCTGGTCCCTGCAGCGCAGGCAGTGCCAGCCTTGCCCAGGCCACAAGTAGACAGAACCAGTCGATGTCCCTTGCTTGTCTGCTCCTCCTGCTCCTCTGCTGCCAAAGCCCTCTGGTGGCAGTGGGAAATCTGGCCTGACTCAGTGCATTTCGGCACTCCGTGGTCGCGGCAGTGCCCAGGGTGATGCCCGTGTGCTCTGGGCA